ACCGATTGATTATAATTGACTTAATTGATTTTTGCTTTTACTCACCCAATATTAGTATCATAAGCCACTCAAAGATTCCAGAAATGAAACATGCAAGTTGAATAAATGAATGAAACGAGTCACAAAATGATGCATTCTAGAAAAGGGAGGTTTAACAGGATGGGGAAACGTATCCCTCTTCCGGTTTTAAAAAAGCAACTGCAGCACAAAATTAAGGAATACAAACATTGCTGCTAATGTCACAGACCCTAATAGCAAGCTCCTACCAGAAAAATAGCTTGGTGGGTTGAAAAAATATGTGCTTCTTTTATTTAGCGCTTAGGATGTGATAATGAGTGAAGATGTAACTAGTACTAGTCAATAATGATTTTTAGGACTTACCAAATTTGACAACAAATGTAAAAAATTATGTGCTATTATTGTTTTTGTATTTTTGAAATTGTACGTTTTTAAATTTGTAAATAAAACTGTTTTTAAAACTTAAAAAAAAAGAAAAATATGTGCTTCTTGATACTCACAAATTTCATGCCATCTTTATATTTAATAAATAAAACCAAAAGTTAAGTAAACAGGATCAAACACCAAAATCTGCTTAGGGAAGCATAAAAACATTCCAGGGAGGAAAAGCAATCTAAGATTTGCATTTTCCCTCAGAAAGAAGAAAACAACTATGGTACAAAACAGTGCTAAGATACTAAGAGATTTTAGTATCTTTGAGATCTAAAGGTATGTGGGGGCCGGAAACGCCCCCCCCCCCCCCCAGCAAGCTCTTTGCATTTCTTACTTTTCTTCTGTAATCCTAATGTTCACCCTTCTCCCAAAGCATTCTTTTTACACGTGAGTGAGTATTTCAGGCCTTCAGAACCCTAGACAACTTTGCATTTTTATAAAGACCACTTTATTTCTTTTTTAGGAACATGCTCAACGATTTCTGAAGTTTTGGTGCCCATGGCAGTTGGCAGCTGCAAACATCCGACTGAAAGCCCTGTCTGCTTCTTCACAGCTTCCAGTCGAGGATGTTTACAATCGCTCCCTGTCAATAGCAATATTCATTCCTTTGTTGTTGTTTTCTTATTAACCTATACCTAGATCCAAGCAGGTTGACTTAGACAATCCTCCCTACCATCTGTGCTTCAGGTTGCCATTTCACTACAGCAGTTTCTAAAATTTCCATCTGCAGAAATCTATGTAATCAATATAATGTGACAGGCAAGTATCCCAAGCATAAGGTTCCTATTGAGTTAAAAGAAGCAATCAGTAAATATGTTCAGCTGTTCCTTAAGATTAGCTAGCTTCAAGAAAAACATTATTCACTTTATTCAACTGGACTGATATTTCCAAAAATATCTAATGAGCTATCAGATACTGTAACAGCTCCATTAACTTTTTAATATACTTTATACTCATAGAAGCTTTGCAATAACCCTAATGTTATTATCAGAATATCAAACCTGGATTACTATGAACAATCCTAATTCTCCTTTTTTTTTGAAGTCAACATAAGCGCTGCTTAAAGACTGTTTTGTAAGAATTTATTGTTATAACAATTACAATGAACAAGAGTGTCAAAATAAAGGCATTGGAAAGAGCCTGAGCCATTCTCCTCCTCCATCCATAAAATATTCACAGTGAAAGCTGATACATAAAAATGTTTTAGTTATTTGAAATGCATACTTGCAGAATTATTTACTTCAACTGATAAATGTAAAAGATCCTCATAAATTACTTCCTAGAAAAGACAAGGTTAGATTTCTCTACACCAAGGTTAAGAAAACTTGTCCTTCAACAGCAGATGAAAACAAGCTAAATTGTACTAGAAATTGATTCCTTTTATTCACCACTAAAGTCAAAGCTATTAAAGCCTCCCAAGGAAACCACATTTTCTCAATGAATCAAGTCACTAAGGAAACAAAGCAAACTTCCAATGCTATGCATTCCAGGCATTTTTAGCACTTGGCATCCTGATAGCGTTTTAGAAAAGGATCAAACTTTCTATCTTGGAACAGATTTCAAAGTAGTCTTGGGATTCTAGCTGTGGTACCCAATTTGGTGTAACAATCTATACAGAATATGGAGGACACATTTCAATCTTTGTTATAAGCCTGAAAAACACCCATCAGTTTTAAAAGTGTTAAAGGAGATGAAATAAATAAATAAAATGCTATTATTGTTCTACCTAAGTAAGGAATATCACCAGCAGGTTTATACTTTATACTTCCTCAAAAAGATTAGACTTTGTTCCTACCAGTATATCATTTCTAATTTGCCAGAGAAAAAAAAGCCCCATTAGAGCTCATTAGCTGAAGATCACCATGTCAACAATGCCCCATTTCATTTTCTACATTTATGGTTCCTCTCTGACGTCAACCAGATTATATCTGTACCAAAGTCAGTAGAAGGTTATGTCTAAAATGCTTCAGTTTTCAGCATACAATTGGAGTTCCATTTTGCAGGACAACAGAATAATAATATGCAATGTTTTCCTGCATTGTTGACTTCAATCAATGAAGTTTGTTTTTTTGTTAAAAGCTTGTAAATGCTGCCTCAGCATTTCAGTATTTTAGACTAACAAAAGTATTCATTTTGGAGACAGCTAACAAAGATTCCCACCCTTAGCTATGATTTATGTAGCAAGCAATTCATATATAAAAAATTAATGGCTGTGCAACTATTCCTATCTCAGAAAAAGAAAGCAAATAAATTATTTGTCAAATGAATGCAAGGCAATTCTAATAAAGCATAGTTTAAGGTCAATGAAATGAACTACAAACTGCTTTCATACAGAAGAATTCAGTTGCTACCACAATCAAACACTCCCGGTCAAAAGACATCTTTTTCCAAACATTCATTTAAATTAATCTATAGAGGCTAATCCATGGCCAGAATCCAAAGACTAAATAAATCAAATTGATGTTTGGACTAATTTTCATTCATTTCCTTATACCATGTAGCCAGCTGGTTTTGAAACACAGGTAAGCTTCACCAACTTCCTATTTAACATACAAGGACAATTCTAATCCTAATCAATATGACCAAAGCAGAATAAAGAGATTTAACAAAAATTGCACTGAAGGGCTTCAAAGCTTTCATAAAGTTCCCTAAGACTTGAGTTTAACTCTTAGGAGCTTCACTGACACATCCATGCAGTTACTTGGGCAACAATTCAGAAGAGATTTACAACTGTCTTTTTCCAGTGTGTCTTTTCAGTGCCCCAGTCTAACTTACAGGATTTCTGTATCTTTGTAGATCTAGGTACTAATTAGGCCTAGCCCTGCTTAGTTACCCTATCCAACATTCAACAGTTATGCCATCCGCTGAGACCTTGCCAAATACCAGAGGCATTAAACACGTCTTTGCTCTAAAAATTTTAGAGAAGTTTTTAAAACCTAAATAACAGAGAATGAATTTCCCAAAAGCTGTCAGTTTACATTCTGGTAGATAACTTTTTTTTTTGTCTCAACAGATGGTTGCACCAAGCTGAGTTTGTCTGGGCTGGGAAGCTAAGAAAGATTAGGCTATTTTGAAGTTGGACAGGATACCACCACAGAATTCCACAACTGTGTGCTAAACCTGGCAAGTCAGAAAATATTCCAAAAGAAGGCAATAACAAACAATTTATATAACTTTAGAAAACTGTAAATCACGTCCACGTAATTATTGGGAATCAAGCACCACCCATGGGTAAGCATGGTAAAACACCCAGAGTTTTTACACTTATCTGAATTTGATAAATATTACTACAGTATGGGGGGGGGGGGGGATTTCCCAAAACAGTCATAAGGGTTATTACAATCAATTGAATTATCACCGTCTTTTCACAGAAAATATTTCATTCCTTTCATATAAACGCTCCCCACAAAAATTAAAATATTTTTACCACTAGCAAGTTCTGTCTTTTGTTTTAATATTCCTTGAACTATTCAGTATTTTCCACTGAAAGATTTCTGGAAATGGGAATTACTGTCCCTGGCCAATATATGGCCATAATTTAATGCATCTGGACTCTTTAATTCGGATTTTCTGAAATTAATTCCATAATGTTCAGGTAGATATACCAAAATAGATCACGGAGTTTGGAACATAGGAAACATGGGGCAACACCTACTGTTCTGTTGTGTGCGAGAACAGGGACCGCCAAACTGTTGGATCTCAGGGACCACCAAACTCATAATTTTAAATCTTAGGGACCACTAACTGGTTCTGTGGGCATAGGCTAATTTCTGGGTGTGGCTTAGTGGTCATGTGACTGGCTGGGCATGGCTTGTATGTAAATTATAAATATTGAAATTTTATCAAAAAAAGAGCAACTGTCAAATCAGACAGGCAGATTGAGTTGCTCACAGAATCACAGATTCATTCAGAGATCTATCTATCTGCCATCGGCTAGCTCAGTCTGTCACATAAAATTTGCTTGCAAGCAAACTCACAAAATTAATTCACAATACACCATGTATGTAAATATTGATTTTTTTTATTTAAAAAAGAGTAACTTTTACCCAAAATCAGGCAAAGCAGGAAGGCAGATTGAGTTGCTCACAGAATCACAGATTAATTCAGTGATCTATCTATTTGGCCTTGGCTAGCTCAGTTTGTCACATAAAATTTGCTTGCCGTGATTCTGCACTGAATAATAGAAGCTTCAGTCCGAAGAGAGGTTCGGCTGTGCTTAAAAGCAGAGCCGAACATTTAAAGACTAGCTAGAAAGCAAGAAATCCAACAATTTCCTGCTTCCTAGCTAATTTAAATCTCCCGGCACAGCAGAACAGCTGATGGTCGGAAAAAGGAAAAATAGCAATTTAGCAGGCAAGTTTGCTGGGTAAAGAGTGAGTGGGTGGGGAGGGTTCCCACGGGCCATGTAGGCAACGCAGCCTTGTGTTTCTGTGCAGCCTGGATTAATTGCTTTGGGGGGGTGCTCTGGGGGTGACATTTCTCTGTGGCCCACCAAAATTTTCTCATGGCCTACCAGTGGGCTGTGGCCCACCAGTTGGCGACCACTGTGCTAGAACATTAATTAAACCCCAGTGATCTAAATGAGCAAAAAAAATTAGTTTACCTGGCTGAAAGGTGTCTAGTTGTTAAAGAAATGAAATTCTTCACTCACAAAAATCCAATCTTCTCATTTGAACACCTAAGACACCTCATATATTTTTAGGATCACTGTTCTTGTCAGCCAACCTCCTAAAAATCAAATTAAGAAGAGTGAAATCTTCATTACTCTGTTTTCATGAGATTGAGAATCTTGCAGCATTATTGAATTAAGTATTCCTAAGAAAGCAAAGAAAATAGTAATGGACAAGAGAACATATGTTTGCTAATTGTAGTGAAAATAAATGTGCTTCCAACATTAGTGTTAAACAATCTTAACTAGCCTTAATTCACACGGTGTGTTTTATAATTTAGCAATTACAATATAAATCAAAAAGCTATGTTTAGACATTTGAGTTAAAGCATGAATTAAATTTGCATGATTTTTTCAGGTTCAGTTGTAATGATGGAGTACATGAGGGCTAAAATTTAAATTTCAGTCTTAAATTTAGGATATTATATTAACTCAACCTCTGTGGATTGCAACACAATTACTTGAGTTTTGTCCCATGTTATGACTTTTTTTGGCCACACTTGTTAAGTCCCCAGGATGCAACTGTAATAAGTACATGCCAGTTGCCAAGTGTCTGAATTTTGATCAAGTGACCATGGGGATCCTGCAACAATCATGTGTGAAAACCAGTTGTAAATCATTTAGTGTTACTCTAACTTCAGTCATTAAATGAATGACTATAAGTCAAGGACGACCTGTATGAACTTGATTACATGCATTTTCATGTTGTGATATCAAATCCATTCTCCATACTCTAGTACCGAAATATTATAATGAATACAGAGTTGTTTCATGAATCACAGCAAAATTGGAGGCATTTATTTGTAAGTAAACATCACTGAACTAAATTGGATTTGCTCATAATACATTTGCACTCAACAGAGATATGAATTCATTTTTTGAATTCTGGACAACAGACAATAGAAAGTATTTAATATGCTGGATCTTAATAGTCTTCAAAATAAAATTTCAATACAAGTATATTATAGAAGATTGGCTACTTATTAGAAAACAGTTTCCACTATGGTTCAGAACTGTCTATACAGTAGAACCTCGGGTCATGACTACAATCCATTCTACGACTTCGGTCAAAACCAGATTTGGTGGCAAACAGAAGTGAGATTGACTGCGCATACGCCTACAATTCTGCGCATATGCGGAAGGGGAAATCACTGCGGCAGGGAAAATCGCTGCAGCTGTATTTGATCAGCACCTGAGGATCTGTTCATGAACAGAAGCAACGATTTTCCCAAATTTTTGGTCGTCACCTGATTTGGTCACAAACAGAAGTGTTTGTGACCCGAGGTTCCACTGTACTGTATAACTAAACATCTGCCTATCCCAGGTCTTTGGAAGAGATTCAGTAAGTGGCTAAAAATACCAAATCCAGTCTGAACATCTGGCTGACTATGCAACAAGCCATAGTAACTATTATCTTATTTAAACCAAGGCAATATTTATCACTGCAGTCATTATCAGGGTATTTAAAAATGGAGTGTTTATTTTGGGGAGTATTTTGTAACTTATGCAGGAAGAATATTCAATAGGAAAAAAATGCTCCTCACTGAAGAATATTCTAAGGTGGAGCATTTATTGTAAATCCCTTTAACAGAAAGGATTCCTCTTAGATACAATTAAATGCACTATATAAAAAAGCTTCAGGAGGAACAAGAGCCTATAGCTAACAGCATAGACATTTTAATAGTTCATTAACTAAACCCCCAGTTTGAAGCACTGACAATATATTTGCAAGGTCACGTACAGTATTTCAAATTCTGTTAATATATTACACCTTTTATCTTGGTGCACCTGCAAGTTAACTCATACTAGAAGCTACATTATTAGCATGTGGGAAATGTTTTAAACAAACTTAAAGCATTCATATACAAAATCTTACATGAGAGGAAAAGTAATACAGGATTTGTTTTTAGTCCTGTTACACAACAACTGAAACGCACATTGTGGTACAATTAGCAGTTTTAAAATCTGCAAAAGATTTACTATGTAATTACACTACGATGCTGTAGTATCTACAGAATTCTCATTGCTGTTCTCACATGTTTTGTAGCTGAGAACTGTATCGGAGCATAAGCATTCACCTTAGAAGGAATCAAACACCTCCAGGTTATCCAATTTTATAGTCTTCAACCAAGATTATAAAATGTGGTTTAAGTGTTTATTTTAAAATAATTCAAAAATTATTTAAAGTAAAAAACGACCTTTTCCCAAGACCCACAACATCACATAATAGTGCCAACTGAAAAGGTTACTATTCATTTTAACACTTTATATATACATTTAGGTACTGTGATTTACTCTACAAATGTAAAGCACAGCTTAGCACACATGCAAACACAGCCTGTAAGAATTAAATGAATTTAGATATACATACTTGATCATTTATTACATTTGTTATAAGCCCCCTCACAGCAAAGTAGACGGCAAATAAATTTAATATCAAGTTTCATAGATGTAGCTAACCACATCTCAAGGTAAGTTTGAAGGGACTGATTTAAATAACTAAAAATAATTTATATATGGAAGTTTGAAAATAATTTGATTCATTAGCCAGGGAAACAAACTATTCTACAACCATACGAAACTATGAGCTTATGTTAATCCCCCAAAGTCTATTGGAAAGTCCCATCATGTTCTAGGCGATTTATTTATACCAAGATTTAGTTTCAATCAGGTTGCCTTTCAAGCAAAATACACCAAACATTCTTGTACCTTAAAGTCAAAGCAATGAAGTAAATATTATAATCTATCCTTCCCTTTCGGGGAACAAATTCAATTTTACTAATCACAGCAACCAAGCAGAAGTAACACCCCCATTTTAAGGGACATGAATGAAATGCTTCATAATTAGGACATAAGCCCCTATTTTTATTGATGACAATCAATGCTCTTACTTATGCATTTATATGATAATATAAATATTTTAGATTTTATAAATATAAAGATTTTAATTATATATCTCTAGTTTTTGTGTCTTAAGGGTCTACTTTTCTATGCACATATGTACATTAGGTTATAATTATCTCAATGCCAGGATAAAGCTCCACTCATGCCAAAGATAAATAGAATTTTGGAAGAAAATCTCCAAAATCTCTGTAGTTTACTTATACTGGCTTAGAAACAAGTAACTGTAGAAACCTAGTATCTCTTACTCAAAACTTATTTTCAACTACACTGGCAAATTAACACAAATGAGAAGCACAAGCAAGAAGCACCTGAATAATTTAACCACTGGTTGAACAGCATTCTATTACAAACAGAAAGGATACAAAATCTAGTTATTCAGAAACTATTATGTCCTAAAGTGAGAAAGAAGCAAGTTCCAAATGCACACTCATCTGAGGCACAAAGTTCTGCCAATTAACTAGTCACCAAATTAATACTCCAGTAACTGCCCTTCCAAATAGGATAGCCAACTGTGTATAAAAAGCAGCCTTGATATGAAAGCCAGATTTTTTTAATCAATATTTTGGAACTGAGGAATGTAGATTAATATTTTTGTAATGTTTTCAGCTCTGTAAACAGTAGCATTTAGCATAATTATTTTCCTATGTTTCTATAGTATTTTAACTTGTTTCAAAATATAAAACCAGGTGTGCCAAGCAAATAAATGCAAAGAATTATTAGATCAGAAAATGTTTTTAAGAATATGTTCTTCACTGCACAAGACAGTACACTCAAAGTTATCCATCTAGACACTGGAAAACGCTTCAGGAAACATAAAAAGCAGTTTAATCAGAAAAGAATTTCCACCCCTTTCCTAACTAGAAGCCACACCCTCCAACTAATGACAGAAAAGCATTTTGAATTAGAACTCTGTAAGTGCCCTGCCTCAGGCAAAGCAAGTCTCTCCTATTTTCAGAAAAGAAAAGAAACTCTTGCTCAATAAGTAGCAATTAGGCTGCAGAATTTATATGCTGAACACGGTTAAATGGAAGAACACCAGATCAGTGGACCATAGCTTTAGTGCACTGAGTATGATTAACAGAATGAGCCTTCAAAGGTCAATTAAATGTCACCACTTTTGAGGGGGAAAGTTTTCTGAAATTTGGTCAGTGTGTAGTACTGTAGTGCCTGCAAACTTAATGCTAATATTTCACTAGGATTTCTGTAACCCCCAGTACCTGTATGTACACGCATAGTGGACATCTATTTCCTGAAAAAGAATATTTATACCAGTGGGCAGAATGTTAGCGCTATTAGTTATATTTAATCGAGTAAAGCAAAATATCTTTCCCTTCAGTGGGATGAAATATTTCTTTCCCGAGAAATGTTTTAACAGAACATTCTAGGATGAAGTTGTAAGGATAAATTTCTTGCGAATCCTGGAACATAACTGATTGGGAGGGGGGCACAGAAAACACTGTGGAACTTTCAACTTCATTTGAAAAATGCAAACATGTTTTCTGCAAAAACATTTTGGCCTTAGTCAAACAAATTTACAAAGTTTTAAACTTATTCAAGAAATATTATTATAGCCCAGTATTTCCAATACCCCCAAACAGCAGAGACAATATTTGTAATATGCTATAAGTAATGAAATATAAAATATTTAACACACATACACTTGCAAAAACTTTTTTAAAAATCTGCAATAGAAATAGTGAGCAAGAGCTAGAAGTTGAATTATAATAGCACATCAGAAAAAAATGTTTAAGAGAAATCTTTTGAACAGTTTGCAGTTCTTACAACCTATCTTGTCAAGATGGATAAATGATTCAGAAGAATGTTTTTATACTTTTCCCAAGGACAGATGATAAACCTTCACTATGAATAATGAATCTGTATGGCCTCTGTTCTGAAACCCATTAGAAATGATTTACAAGGTCAGCTAATACATAAAGTGATATTTATTAATGGTCTTCCTAACATTGAGTGTTAAAAAGATTAATAGGTAACATTGATCTCTGGGAGTTTGGGAAAAAGAGCCAAGAAACACAAGTTGCATTTTAAAATTGGAGAACTTATCCTTTTTACAAGTACAAGATAACTCCATTGGATCCATCAACAATTTTAAACCTTCAAATTCAGTACAATTAAAACTTGAAGTAGATTAAGGTTGGAATTATACTAAGCAAAGGCCTGCTGAAGATGAAAACTTATTTATACAGGAAGGCGGTGAAAACAAAGTATAGTATAACCTTAGCAGACCACGTGAATTCTAAAAGATTTCAAGCACATTTAGACCAGAGAAATGCACCTTTAATCTACTAAAATGCGATCTGTTTAATATTAAATGTACAATTCATTTAGCTTCATCTGCAGTTTCGGCCACTTTTTTAAATTCTTCACGCACATAAGCTCATCAACCATAAAGTTACCCATGAGTTCAGTTTCAAGCCGAAGTACACACGCAGTACTTGGAAGTAAACTGGAGCTTCCTTAACAATAAACAAACACCACAGCGGAGCGCACAGCTACATTCCCAGCACAACTGGAGCAACTTGATCTGTAGCTCAGTCCACTCAGCCATGAAAGATACCTGTTGCTGCACCTGCAGAACTGGCTCCATTATGTCACCAACGCCCGAGCTTGTAAAAGGACTGTAATGCCCACCCCCCAACAAAACTAAAAATCAAACCAGCCAGCTCGTCTTTTTCCGCTTGGATTTGTCGCCACTCTGGAACCAGGCGTCCCTTTTCATTAGGATTACTGTTGTTGCTGTTGTTATACCCACATCTCTCTCTCCCTCTCTCCAAATATCCCACCCAGCCATTCTTCCGTACCACCGACAAGCTCTTTTTAACACAAGGCAGAGCGTTGAAAGGAAGGAAAGAGGAGTCTACTCCAAGCCAAACCCATGTTATTATGTTTTTTAAAGGGGGAAGGAAGCCGAAGGCTAATTCCCGCCACACCTCGCCGGCCCGCACGAGCTTTGTAACTTTTTCCCCCCAGCGGCTCCACAACGCTGCTACTCCGGTGGCGGGACGTGGATGAACACGTGTGTTGCAAAGCGAGGCAGACCCCCTTCTCTTCCTCCACCCTCCCCAAGAATATCGGGCACCAGCAAAGAGCAAAGCCCAAATCCTCCAGAGCGACGATTCTCCTGCCTCTGAAGCAAACGTGGAGGGGGGGGAGGAGGCGGGCGGCACCTGTGGCGAAGTTCTTGGCGGGCGCCCTTCTCCCGCGCCTCCCCGAACTTGAGCAGCGCAACAGCCACAGTCCACCTAGTCAGGCGGTCCGCCAAGTTCTCTCCCCTCCTCCGCCCGCACATAATTTCCACCCACTGCCTCCGCCGGAGAAGAGCGGCTGCGGTAACGCTCCCGCCGCCGCCTTTCGGTTCCGTCTCAGCGGAGACCCCAGCGCCAAAGTAGGAAAGGGAGAGAGGGTAGCCCAGGACGCCCCTTCGGCCGTGGAGGAGCAGCGCACAACCGAAGAGTGACGCGCTTTGCGTCACGTGGAATTTGGTTCCCCCCCCCCCCCCCAAGAGCGCGCAACTAAGTGCCCCTAGGAAACTCAGCCCGCCATCCTTCCCGCTCGCCGCTTTTCCCTCCTTCGGGAGCGCGGCCGGGCTTGGCATTGTCCGTCCCTCCACTGTCCTGCGTCCTTCCTTCCTGGCTCCCCAAGGGGGCGTGAGGGGGAGCGTCCCTTCAGACTCCACCTCTTCTTCTTTTGCTTGCAATGTTTCGCCGTGCTCTTTGTTTCTCCTTGCTTCTTCCCCCCCCTCCTCCTCCGCCCCCATTTGCTTTCCTTTGACAGCTGCGGTTCCTTCCCATAAGGCTGAAAATTCTCCCCACCACCACCTTCAGAAACAGCCCAACCCGGCCGAAAGAAAGAAAAGTAAAGACTCCACGTCGCTCCCCTCCCCGGCCTCCCTTGCCCTGCCAAGCGCCAAAGCGCCTCAAGCCAAGCGTCCCGCTTGCAGGTGGCCAGCGGGGGAGTGAACTCTCCACCCCCGGGGCTGCTCGCTCCTGCTTTGAAACCCCGCCTCCGGGATTCCATCTTCTCCACGCTCGAGCTCCTCCAATTAGCTCCAAGGAAATGGCAGAGGTTTGAGCCAATGAAATGACGGCGGTCCGGAGCGTCCCGTCAGCACGAGCCAATCAGGAGGAGGGGGAGGATGGAACCTTTCGTCGACCCCCCCTCCCCCACGTTCTCGTGATCATCCCGGTTTCTTCGACTCAGTCGCAGCTGCGGTGCGGTCTGAAACAGCTGTGGAAGTGCCGGGGAGAGAGGCAACAGCAGCCCTCGGCGGTACTACTGTGGGTAAACATTAGGAAACGCTTTCGGGGAAAAGGTGGGTAAACGTCTATAAGAACTCTTCGATTGCAACACGAAGATCTGCAAGAATCGAAGATTCAGATGAGCCAGTATCATCTTATTTATATTCATATGATGATGGCAACCTTTGATCTTCCTTCTGCGTAAGGTTGAGATCATGCAAAATGTGGAGTACAAATTGTAGTCAGGTGTTGGGCATCGCAAGCATCACCCGCACAACCCAGAAAAGAAAGCTTTCTTGCTGATCTGTATCCTCTTTCTGTGATGTGCATGGTGTTGTCCAACTTGTGCGTGTTCACTGTTCTAATGCACGTGTCTTTTGCAACTGGCTGTTACTGCCTAACCTAGGCAGAATGTAGAAATGGATCTGGTTTGTCAAAGAAATGTAAAATCGAGGTAGTAGATAGGTCAATGAAAATTAGCAATGGATTAATTTCTGACCTTTTAGCTTGGGAACGGATTGCTTCGTGAGAAATAGGTGATGGGTGGGGGGAACTGAATACAATACAACTTTTTTCTGATAAGGATTTGGGTAGTCAAGACTATCTTTAATATTTGAAAAAGTTGTAAAAACTTGATGAGTACCTTAGTTATACCTGTGTTACAATATGGATTTTTTTTCCCATGACCAAATGTAGTTGTTGTCTGCATTCTTTTTTACTGTCTTATATTCTGTTTGCTTATTATTTTTAAAAGCAGTGCACTTTGAGAAAAAAATGGCTGCAATGATTTTTTTCCCTACAAAAATGCTAATGTAACACAACTAAGGCACATGCAAGACTTCAGGCTCTGAATTTATCTGCAAGTCAACCTCTCCCAATCCTACCCTCCAGATGTGTAGAACAATCTCTTCCATAATTAGCTGGTTGAGGTGTTGTAGTTTTAACATAGCTAGAAGGTACTAGCTTGAAAAAAAAAACTAAATATGAATTGGATGACCCTTGTCTATATCCACATTTTTTTTATTAAACTTTTTTTAAAAAACCTAATGGCTTCATGATTTTTTTTTCATTTGAAATGGTAGTATTTACTTTTAAGATGTGTAGAAAAGCCAGTAGTATTTTGTGGATTGCCTCTGTGATCTTGTCACAATGTTTATTTCCCTTCTATCTCTTAGCTTAGGAAGATAAAAATACTCCATAGTGAAACCAGCTGCATTTTAGCCTAGCGGGTTGTATACAAATCCATTCATCAGATTACAGTTCAGCCATGGGTTCACATTACACATTAACCTAAGATGTGATTGGTTAATATGTATTTAATATATCATGAGAATACAGCCAATATGTCAGTTTGTCAATTTGTCACATGAACACAGAAAAATAAAGCATGGGTGTGTGAGATAAATAAACTAACTGTGATCACTCTTGAAAGCTGCTTGGAAGCTTTGGTTAATAAGATATTTTGCAAGCCAGATTTTTTTTCAGGAATAAGATTTACAGTTACAACCTTCATATTCTGTATTAGCTTCATTTCTCATTTCCATGCAAAGTTCAAAATGCTGAACTGGGACCACAGTTATTACAGGTCCTGTGACTTACTATATACAGAGTGGCTAGGTCAGCAGGAACCTGAGTAAGGACCTGATTGTAGCTGCTTCTGACTTTCTCTTCTTCTATATTTGGCTTCAGATTGGCAAGCAGCATTTTTCTCTTATTTCATTAAGAGTACTGTTCTCAAATTTATTTTACAGCAAGTTTTTTATCCTGTTTCTTGTTTTTATTATGCTCACAGTTTATAAGAATTTTACTGTGTGCTGCCTTAACAGAGTGGATATGATTTATTAATTGTAAACAAAGGCCCCCATAATTTCTGCTTCATAGCTGGCAATCCTAATTTTTTATTCACCTTTGACTATGTTTAATCCCACAGTACGGTAGTTGGGGTCATAGCCAGCACATGATGCATCTGGCCCCTGGGCCGCAAGTTTGACAGCCCTGCCATAGGTAGTCTTTGGGTTAAGATGGCTACTAGGATTGGAATTGCTAAGTGATGCAGTTGTAACACATGAAGTCATAGGACTACATTGTTTAATGCTGGCACTTCTGGCAGTCCCAGGTGCCATTGTTAAATGAGTACCAGGTGAGTCATTAAGCAAGCCCTTACTTAACCATGACTTTCAATTTCCCTTTGGCTTCCCCAATGACTTTGCTTGTGGGAAGCCAGAAGGGAACATTGGGAATCATAATCATGTGATTTCAGGGATGCTGTGATGAATGGAACTCTGAGGACCAATCATAACTACAACTCCTTCAGTGACATTGTAAATTTGAATGGTCACTGTTCGAGTGGTCATAATCTGAGGATTCCCTGTAAATCTAATCACTTTTTTAAAAAATCAGGCTACAGACATGTAACTAACTTAATGGAGGGCAGGATCAACTAGCAAGATATTTCATAACAGACATCAAAATTAAAAATCCATGTATGATTTTTTTAATTGAAAAGTGAATGTGAGTCATGTTTTCCCTTTTAAAATTAAGTGTGGGCTGAAAGAATAATTTTCCAGTTACTAGTATTTATTTTGCAGACAAATGCTATAAAAACTAATCAGCATGTTTTTATTACTGAGGATATATGCTTAAAATGTCTTATGTAAGGTGACTTGGCACAGCCCCTTTGTTTTGAGTTTTCAGTGCTGAACAAGAATTGGAAAAGTTCCCTTTTGGGGAGCAGTGTTAATTTTATTTTGTTCTAATCAAGTATTTCATATGATTCTGGAAATCTAACGAGCATAAATTCTATGCAATGTATTTTTGAAAACAATTTGATAATTTTGGCAAAAAAATAATCAGGATTGATCTTTTTTTTTCCTGCTTTTCTGAAGAAACAGTATCAGTCTCATACCTGAATGAAAATATTTATTTATTTATTTCAATTTATATAGTTGCCAATCTCAAATTCATGATTTTGGGCAACTAGCAATAATTAAAAATAGCATAAGAACATAAAGCAAGAAAGAAATAACAGTATGCACTTAATTTGCACCCAAGGTAAAAAAAACAAAACCACAACACAAATCAGCATTAGCCATTGCATGAGTGAAAACTTATATGCAGATTTTGGGAAACTTTATCTACAAATATTAGACTGAGAGTTATCAACTGTGGCTCATGAGGACTCTAGATAATCCTGAAGACCTCCATTTTTTAAATAAATAAATAAATAAAAGGCCCAAATCCTATGATATTTTGTTTTCTTATGAGACACTACCTATTTTTAATGTTGTAAAGCTAATTTCTTTTTTTTTAAATTTTGTGCCTCTTGTACACTCTTGCTGCAAAGTAGGAATTGTGATATTCAATACAAGTAGTCTTCAATTTACAACAATTCATTTAGTGACTACTAAGTTACAACAGCATTGGAAAAAGTGACTTATGACCACTTTTCACAGTTATAACTGTTGTAGCATCCCCGTGATCATAATTCAGACATTTGGCAACTGACTCATATTTAAGACTGTTGCAGTGTCCTGGCTTTATGACCTTCTGACAAGCAAAGTCAATAGGGAAGCCATATTTACTTAACAGTTGTGCTACTAATTGATTTACTTAACACCTGTGGCAAGAAGGTCGTAAAATGGGGCAAAACTCACATATATCTCACTTAGCAACAGAAATGTTGGGCTCACTTAAGTTGAGGACCACCTGTAGGAGGACTGCATGTAAAAGTAGGAGCTGGAGGTACATGAAGGTGATGTGTAGTTAACTTAAGCCAGAACAAGAGAAAAAAATATTGACCAACATATCTTATGATCAAACGATGTAAAGTTTTAGGCCTTTAATTTGATGAAAGCTATGAGCACTCTTTATAAATCTTTTAGTGCAGCTCTGCATATTGATAAATGCAAACCAGCTGTTGATTGAAAGTACAGAAGAGTAATTGATTGTGATGCATCTGAGTATTTTGGTATTGCAAAAGATGGGTATTGCAAACTCGCATCATCACAGTGGTGTCTGTGACATATCGAGACTTATTTCCCCTTCACTAAACCAGGCGGGGCTGGGGCCAGAATGTGGCACATCTGGGCCGTGAGCCACAACTTTGTCACCCCTGCTCTAGAACTAGTAAAGCACCAAAATTAATAAAGTGTGTTGCCTTTTAAATAGTATAGCAGAGAACTTTCTGTGTCAAGGGTACATCTTCTATAGAGGTAGTAATTAGCAATATTTTTCTAAAACAGCACAGAGAAGATTAGGTATTTTTTCTCATACTAGAGTTATTATAAAGAATTCATGAAATTATATTTTTCCTTGAAACAAAGTGCAAATAGTGTTTATTAATACCATCACTGAATTCTATCCAGCTTGAGGTTCTGCTTCCAAAGAAAGGAAAGAGTTACATCTTTTGAAACGTAGGTATTCCAAGTTCCACTGAAGCTGCGAACCAAGAAGAAGAGGAAACAAAAATAACTTCAAATTACTCTAAGTAGCACAACTGTGCAGGAATTGGTATTTGAAGGCCAATAAGGGCACTTGAGTGGCATATGTTTTTAGCTTCTTAAAGCCAATGTTTAAAGATTGTGGGTCTACCTTCTGCAACTGCAGTGGCTTCTGGAAAAAAGATACATCATTTTTAAGAAAATGCACATGGAAGCCACGTTCACTGGCATATGGTACTAAAAAAGCATTTTTTGCCATCAGATATGAAATGCTATAGAGTTAGACTTCTTCATAAAATGTATAATACTTTTAAAAGAGGCTATCATGCTTAATGCATCAATCTGGTCTATACTTATTTAAAATAGGACTTTAAAAACTTGCTTAATGGTGCTGAAAATGAGTTACTACATCTAATTTTTTCTTAATTAAAGTAGTAGTTTTTCTTAATTCTATTATCTTTTATAATCCTTATCATTTGAGTTTTTCAGAGAGTATCTTCAGCAATAACTGGAAGCAGGAAATAAAACCAACTTGGCTTACTCTCCAGTTGAGGTTTATTTTTTCATTAATTTATTTTCGTGATAAGATTTATTACATATTCTGATTCTTGTAGTACCTAAATATAAAAAAAACCCAAAGGGTGAAAAAACTCCTAAAATCATCATACAGGGCATATATTCACAGACAGACATTAAACATTCACAGTTGTACATTAAATATTTCAAGAAATGGAAGCTATAAATTGTTACAACCACATATAGCTAATCTGTATATTGATTTGTAAATTGCTAATAACATCAATTATGTAGTTCACTGAATATTGGAGCCATATGCTTGTCAATCTCCTGGGTCCTGACAGGTGAAACTCCTTATTAGACAGGATCTGCAACATACTCTTTCTATTGGGTCTGACTCTGATGGGATGGCAGACATAATCAGAGATGGTCCCTCATTTGGAATAGTGTTCTGACATTTAGTCTTTTTATGTTTTAAATTTAATATATTTAGGCATTTATAAACATAAATCCTGTTTCACACATTAAAATGTCAAGCATACGAATTGTCAAAAAAGTGAAAATAAAAATAAATTTCACATTTGAATATTTGGCTCTGTGGTAGAGATCTCTTCTAGCTACACAATAAATGTTCTATTGTCTTAGAATTAATATGAACCTCTAAGATGACCATTTTGTTGCCTTTCCTACACGTCGTCAATATTAAAACAATAATAAAACTTGCAATAGATTTCAAGCCGCAAGTCAGTTATCATTACAAATACAGAACTACAAAAGCAAAATAAAAATTGGGACTCAGTATGGAAGTTATTAGCTAATAGGAGTTTATTTTTCAGTAAAACTAGATAAATTAAGATCTACATAAAATGGTATATTTTGTAAGGCTCAGTGTTGCTAAGGAGATGCTTTCTATGTTGCTATATATGTGCATCATAGTTTTATGCTCATTTTGCTTGATGCAGCCAAGTATTTGATGAACTACATGCAACAATGCTTTAATACATGATTGAAACTTTAGTAAAGAACTATCAAACATTTCAAGTCTTTAGAATATTCAGCAAATGCAAGAAAATACGGTACTTTTAAAATACAGAAGGATTTGTGGTGAAATGAAATCAAGTCAAATCCGAATACAAATGCCCTGAAATTCAGCTGAAAAGTTAATCCAGAGAGTCTGAATTGGGTGTGATCTTTGTGACAAATGCCATAATATTCCTATCAGCTCAGTATCTATGGAGATTCTCAGTCATCCAGATCATGGTTGTCCCAAAGGTGTTTTTTCAAGAGGCAGCTAAAGAAGCTTGGATGAGAAGCGAAACAGAAAAACCAGAGTCCAGTTGCTTCTTGAAAAAGCACCTTTGGGACTTCCTATCAGCTCCTTTATCTAAAGAGATTTGGGGAGTACAAAGCATTTGCTAACTCCTAAGTTTATCAAACTTTCCCTATATGTGTGTATTTAATAGTATTGTGAGACCAGTGTAATAATCTAAATTACTACTTATGGAAAACTAGGAATGATTTATTAGCTTTTATAACACTCTGGAAGGATCCAGGATCAGAATTTAGCATGATATAAATTCTAGGATCAAAAAGCATAAGGCATGAATAGTTTATGCCTTAGTAATATACAGTAACATCCCAAAGCCTGATGATAAAAATAATAAATTATTGTTGTTGGAAAATAAGGTTTAATGGATAGTGGGGAGATAAGCATCTCTCATACTGTAAATTCTAGAAAATTAATATTTTAAATTTGTCTAAAAACATGAAAAACCATAGCTTATTGAACAAGACTTGTGTACAAAATAGCCTCTAAGTTCTCTTACTTCTTATTTATGCACCTCTATAACTGTCTGGTTTGGTTCTGCAAGCTAAGAAGATAGACACAGACTTCAGAGGATAATTAGGACTGCAGAAAAAACAATTACTACCAACCTGGCTTCAATCGAGGACCTGTATACTGCACGAGTCAAAAAGAGGGCTGTGGAAATATTTACAGACCCCTTACATCTCGGATATAAATAGTTTCAACTCCTACCCTTAAAACGATGCTATAGAGCATGCACACAGAACAACTAGACACAAGGACAGTTTTTTTCCCGAAAGCCATCACTCTGCTAAAAAAATTCCCTCAACACTGTTCAACTATTACAAAGTCTGCACTACTATTACAGTTAATCTTCTCATCACTCCTTATCACCCATCCCCTCCCACTTGTGACTGTATGACTATAACTTTGTTGCTAGTATCCTTACAATTTATATTGACTTTCCTAGTATGATTTGATTGCTTATTGTACCCTATGACTATCATTAAGTGTCGTACCTTATGATTCTCAACTCTTGATGAATGTATCTTTTATGTATCCTGAGAGTATTTACACCAAGACAAATTCCTTGTGTGTCCAATCACACTTGGCCAATAAAGAATTCTATTCTTATATCCTTTATCTCAGCCATCCAATTTTAGCAACAGAGCAATGAAATCTTGGCCTTCTCCATCCCAATGTATCATCATAAATGTTGACTATGATTTTCTTTAAATTATTGTGTTCCTGAGAACAGATACAATTAATTCCAGCCTGAATGCAATACATATGAACAAATTTATTATAAAATTACTTGGATTTTTACACTGCTGCTTGGTTTTTCTTAATAAACCATAGTCATAGAACAATAGATTTAGACCAATAATATGGACATCTACCGCCACAATTTTTAATTAACCCCACAAAACATTTTTGAAAAATATCTCTATACTGAGAAAATATATTTTTCATTTTTATTTTTTAATGTTTCAAAATGGTTTTCCATAAAACACTACTGGTAATTTCCCACAAAAAGCCTTAAAGAAACTATTCAAGTTTAAAGAGAATAATTAATAGTGCAATGTTAATTTATATGTAAACATGAGATAATCACATAGATATTTCAATACATATAGTCCCCTCTACTAATCTTATATTCATTTTTCTGAATGATAAGCATCTCTTCACATTATCATTTGACACCATGCAAATGTATCAGGTGTCAAAAAGCTGATGAAATTCCATCGATAAGTTTCTGAAGAACCTTTTATTAATTTAATTTTAACTGAGTTAAATTTATTTTATCAATCAAATACAAATAGGAATTAAACATACACAATCTAGAATAAAACTGATAGGGTACTCTGCTCACAAGGCAGTGACTCTGGAAAAATTGCCTGCCTCATTCTGAGAGGGATACGGATTCAGTTCCATGATCTTCCTCCTGTGGCAAAACTTCAACGTCCTTCCTCATTTCTACGATCCAATGGAGGCAATAGCTTCTTCAACGGACTGTGTATTCCTCTCCCCAGTATAAATGCCAGACTGTAGCTGGTCATCCTTCACAACAGCCCATGACATCTGATTGGTAGAGAACTTAGCAGCCCACTCCCCTGAACTGCTAATAACAATGATGCCACCTAAGCCTCCAACTCTGGTTTTCATACAAGCTAGAGCAGCATCAGCAGCCTCTCCTGGTGGTTTCCCTGAAAAATCAGCATATGAAAAATGCCTTAATTTTAAAAGAAAGTAACCAAAGGTACATTTTACATGGATAACTATTTTATATATACCACTATTTTAAATAGATAAACTGTTTTAAATGGATGAACCAAGATACATTTTGCATTCTGCCAACAACCTTTTTAGATAACTTTTGAAGGGGCTACTTTCAAGTCAGTTTTTGACTCCTGATGACTGCCTGGACTAATCCTTTCAGTTTTCTTGGCAAGGTTCTCAGAAGTGGTTTGCTATTGCCCACTTCCTGGGATTGAGATACAGTAACTGGCCCAAGATTGCCCAGATGGCTTTGTGTTCAAGTGGGAATAGAACTCGTGCTCTCCTAATTTCTAACTGGTGCCTGAACCTCTACTCCAAGCTAGCTCTCTCTGAGGTAACTAACATTCATTAACAAAATACATGTCTGAAAGGAAGCATCTCCAAAGAACTGCCATTAATTCTATGAACATAAGAGCTCTTTAGGCCTGTTGCTTTCCAAACAGAGAAAAAAGCTTTCCAATTTAGGTGGATGAACTTCTTTTGAAAGCGAAGTATGCTTCAGAGGAGATTGTGATCTGACAGTTGTTCATCACAAAGGAAGCAGGGATGAAAATTTCTATTGCGCCTCATCATTCCCATTGTTTAAACTACTAAATGTTTTTAGTTTTAATCAGTGGAAGGCTTCCTGCCCAAATTCTACAGGAATTATAAAATTCTCTTCAAAAAACAGACAACATTGTAGCTTCCCAATCTAATTCAAGGTATGTTTTGCTAAATTTAATTCCTGACAATCATACACTCTAGTTTATAATTTAAACAGCTACAAATGAAGTCTGCTAATAACTAAAATTATTTTGCCAGCTGTTTTAATGATAAAAAACTTTCTATTACTGAAAAGAAGGGTGGATGGATCTACCAGTGTCACAGAATACAGGCTTACTTTTCTGGTTTTGTCCCCATTCCCTTCCAAATGAATGGTTTAATAAAATCAAATATTAATACTCTGGAAAACTTTCAAGAGCATCATTTTACCACTGAGAAATAAGACTTGATTAACCCAATATCTCTAATGCACACCTATTAAGCATAGCTATTATAATCAGGGTTGGGATCTGACTGGTGTAACTACTAGTTTGGTGATTTACGTTTTGTGGTGATTTACGATGCTGCACGCACATGTGAAATGTGAGCTGTGTTGCTGAGCAGTGCTGCATCGAGTAGGCAGCGTTTGGAAAAGCACTTTTTTCCTACTTTTTCAATCGCAGCTGTGCCGCGCAAAGCAGCTGAGGTTGAAAAAGCAGGAAATAAAGGACAGGTAAGAGCCCTGGTGGGTGGGTGGGGCAAAACAACTCTTCAGAGCTACCAATTCAACAGAGACAGACAGAACTGGTAGAATACCACCCCTGATTATAATGCATGTTAACTCTGAATATTTTGTTAAGTTTCAAGTATACACCAAAACAATAAGCAGTTAAAAAAAAGCAAGAAGCATTTAATCAACTGTGTAGTTAATTCATTGTCAAAAAACAAAAACTTGTGTGCGCAAAATAATTTCAATGCTGTTCTTATTTTCCAATTTATAATCTTTATTTAAAATTATAGTTATAAATATATCTACAATTATAATTAAAACAACACAATTCATATAAGGAATATAAAACATATATGATTTATTTTAAATTCCTATCCAGACATTAAGCTTCCTTTGTGACTGAGCCTTTCTCAGCCTAATCTGTCACACAAGATCATAGCAAAGTTAAAGTTGGAGGAACAAGTGCCAGATATTATGCCTTAAGCAGCTGAGAAAGATGAATGTTTTAATCTAATCCTCCCAAAGAAACAAAAGCAGCCTCCTCTCTATTCCATAACTAAAAAGCTAAACCAGGAGGCCCTTGAGGCAGCTAACTTATTTAAAACACAATTGTTATCTGATCCCAATGCAGACTACCTTTCAGGGTTAGGGTTAGGGTAAATGGTGTTCCAAATTAATGTAGCTAAACATTTGTGATCAAGTAATAAAGATCAAATGTCCCTAAGATAGCCAAGCTATCAGGGGCTTTGGAGACAATATATCTACCAACATTGTTTTGCAACTCAATGCTTTCTGTGAAACTCTTTGAAATTCTCAAGTAACACAAATTTGCAACAGAATCACACTTTTCCCTTTAACTAACTATATTCAGAAAAAAGTATTGGATTAATATTTGTCTTGTCTGTAATGGAAGTCAAGAGTTTAGATAATCCAAAAGGTAAAGTTCTCCATGGTCAACCATAGTTAGATTATGTTATGGTCACATGAACATCCTATTGCCAGCTGTTTATCATAGCACTATTCCACATCAATACCCAGATTAGAACATTTGTTTTCAATGAATTTATTATATTTAAAACAGAAATCAGAGGGAAAAATATTATTTAAAACAGATTTTAAAATCTTCAGGAGTGAGTAACCTAAATCCTTCAATAGTGATAAGCATATTGTTGCTGAGTGTGAAAATATGACATGACCATTTTGCAGTCGTGCTTTTTTTTTTTTTACTTATGACCAATATTTCATTGCATGCAACTTTTCAAAAACTAGAATTATTCCAGTAAATGTTGGCAAAATGTCACTTTACAATGATTAGACTGAGTTCAACACAAATATAGCTGAAAAGAGAAAACGCTGTTGTTTGGCGATGATCCCTGAGGCTAGCTGTCATCCGCTTAGTAACAATGTATTAGCTTAGAAAATATATTTCAATTCCTATCATTCCCATTCAGATGGTTTCGTGGAGAGCACTAGATTGGAGAAAACTGATCTAAAATATTAAATTGTTTCGTCTTTGTCAATTCCATCAATTACACAAATACCAGGTATAAGGAGTCTTGTGTTAGTTTATTTGATATACTGATAAAGTCAGTAGGTGTTCAAGGCAACAAATAAAATTCATGGAAAACAGAATGATTCAACATTATCAAAACAAAACAAAAAAATGAAGGAGCTGGAATATTTCTTGCAGTAAAACTGTAAACTGACATTAGAAAGTACTTAAAACTTGACAAATAGGAAGGCCACTAATGATACCAGAAAACTTCATAGGCCCTTTGCTCTGAGTGGAAAATTAGACCTCCAAACATTTACACGATTAAGAGGAACGGATGCTAGAACAAACCTTTAAATTTATATTAGATTGCATTTATGTGTATTCGCTCCAAAATCAGTATTTGTTGCATGTCCAAAACATCAGGCTATACCTTGCTCCATATGGTAAAGAGTAAGTCTTGCCAGGATCACTTTCATAATGCTCTCTCCATGGCCAGTGGTGGAGGTGGCACCAACACTATTATCTGCATACCCACCACTTCCTGGGAAAGAAAAAGGTAAAAGACAGCAGTTTAATAACCCATCTCTTCGCTTAATATCGATGTATTACACAGTGCAATCCAGGGATCATGTCAACTGTATTTTGGGGTTTTATTAACAATGAAGAATTCAAGTGGAATGCAATTGCCTCAACTTTCATGAAACTATAAAGAGAAGGTAAAGGGTAGAAAGGAAAACCCCCAATGGTTCCTCAGAAAAGAATGCCTACTTGACTGTTTCCATGAGAGAAGCATGTTCAGAGAACATATTTTAGTATCTGAACAAACATTCTCAAAATATTTCACACTTTCCACTCCATCAACTTATCTTAATATATGGTGTTTCCTAAAAGCTATGAAATCATCTCATCTTAAGAAAACATGCCATTCAATAAAAATAGCTTTGTTTGAACTACAAGCCAAACAGTTGCTTGCTGGTTCCACTTCAGTGCTTTCTATTTTCCTTGTTCAGAGTTAAAAAGGATCTGGTTCTATACAGAGCAGGGGTGGCCTCCAGAAGACCTACGAGCCCTTATTTTCTCTGGAATGCAGCCCCCCGAGCATTATAAAATGATTAATGATCGTGTGCATTTTATCGGAATGAAAAGATGACATCTAGGGTATTGGTTCTTTCCCTACCTATGCATGCTGTATCACCAACGCGGCCAAGCCGTTTGTTAGTAAGTCCTCCTGTAGATGTTGCACAAGCTACATTTCCTGCACTGTCGATAGCAACGGCTCCAACTGTTCCAAGGTCTCTGCCAAAAATAGCATTTCAGACAATTAGCTGCAGATCTCAAAGCATTTGACAAACAAACACAGCATCTGTTAGTATAGGTAGCTATTTTTCAAGTATGGAATGGCAACAGGCTGTCTTCAGACTGAAGCCAGGGGTCTCCATGCAAGCTCATTTTAGAGGACTTACTAAAGCAACACGGCCAGGTTAATGCACCAAGGGGTTTATACTTAAGCTGCCACAGACTTATGTAAAATTATTAGAATCGCAGATTTCTGTTCAGATTAGTTTTTCCTCTTCTTTCCCACAAATAGCCTTCTTTCTTTTACTTTGACAGCTTGGACAAATAGAATCTTTCTCATGGACTACTATCATTCTCATTTTCTTGCAGTTGCTTTGGGCTGCTACAGCTACTGAATCCCACAAATAGCGATTCCATCATTAAAATCAATGAAAAGTTGGTGTCTTTAGCAACAAAATCCTTCCAGATCAGATCAAAGACCGATTTAAATGACTGGTCTCAAACTCAAATCATTACAAAGGCTGCAGGACTGGTTAATTAGGCTACAGCACTGAGGTCTTTTCATATATTGATAGAACTGTCCCTTAAAATCTTGTGATGTGCATCAAAAAGAATGCAGCGCACAATTGTACAACAACCCCCCCCCCATTCTCTCAGTTTTCCAGTGTTATTGTTGCTTAATTACCAGGTGTGCAAGAGGGCTGCCTCTATATTTCTGAAGAGCAAAATTTATGTGAACTGAGATCTGTGGAGAGCATAGTGCAAACAGAACCAGCTTGCTCTCTCTTGTTCTTGTTCAACAAGATGCAAAGGGGGTGGTGTGAAGCAATGGCATGTATTCACAATAGCGAATTTCAGCAGCCATATTCATGGCCGTGTTGTTTTGTTAACACTGGAGTTTGGCATGCAGCTGCACACTGACCAGCTGCAATAGGGAAGGCATTATCCCACCCCATTCCCTTCACAGTTGGTTCCAGGTTTGCAGATCCCACCATTGTCCTTCTATTCAAGGCCTCCCTTCCAGCTTAGGTGCCCTGGGAGGGTGAGGGAACATGGCCATCACAGCTAGGGTTGAGGCCAAAACTTGACCCTCCTGCCACTCATTGCTGCAGCTTACTTTTAGAATATGACACACCCAGGTGGGGGTAGGGCACCTGCACTCTTAGCCTTGCACTGAGGTGCCTTCACAGCCAAGACTCTTGTCTCAATCTCGCTGCCACACAATTCCTGACTAAGGTTTTAAAGGGGAAAAAAACAGCTCCATGCTGGAGATGAGCTGTGAGAATGCAACAATGTCCCAGTGCAAGGCTAGGAGCTGGTATCCAATCTGTTCCACAGTTTTTATTCTAAATCTGTACCAAAGAGATACTACAATAATGGCAGGGGTGGTCATCTTTCAGCCTGCATCAACAAAGCCATAAGTCCAAGCCTCTTCTACATCAGCCAAAGAGAACATTGGCATACTTCTTCACTACACTTCTTTTGCCTGTCCCTCTCATGCTGAGATGTGAGCTGAGGCTTTCAGATCTTACTCCAGCCAGCTTCTTGTTTCCCCAGACCACAGCCACAAAAGTTGAGAGGAGGGCAGGAGAAATTGCTTCCAGCAGCTTCCAGCAGCTCACATTCAGAAGAATACTCCCTCAGAATTTGGGGAAGAGGTTATGTGGGTTTATTACTCGCTTTAATTTTCTTCATTCAAGCAGACAAAACACGAATACCGGATAGTTACTTTTGACATTCTTGAGGGTTCCAGTCAGCCTCAAGGTTTTTCTTCCACCTCTCCAAAGACCTTTCGGTGATTAATTTTTCTCCAGGAACCTCAGGAATTCCCATAGCCCTAGCAAAGGCAGAGGCCCCTTGGTCAGTCAGCAACATGTGGTCCGTCTGAAAGACGAGAGAAGCAGCTGCTCAAATTGCTGCACAAATCAGTTTCAATCCTTGTACATACAACCACAGATAAAAAGCATGGCATTTCAGCAGTGTCCTGTATTTCTCAAAACAATTTTAATATTGTTTGCCGAACACTTGCTGCAAATGCTATAGCCCAAAGAAGGGGTGCACATTTCAATACATCCATTCGTTTCTGGCTTCAATGAAAGACAAATCCTGAAGTTGAATAAGAATGCTACCAGAAATTGATAATGTGTCAACATAATTTTGATTTCTTTATTTAATTAGAGGGATAGACTCACCCATCTACTTTAAAGGGAAGTATGAAAGAGACAGAGGATGTTTTTGTAATAGTTTTTTTTTTAATCCAGAAGAAAATCTTACAGAAGAACTGAACTACTTGCCAGGGGAAAAGATTCTGTCCTCTGTAGCTTTATGTTCAATTCAAAGGTATGTTCAATGCAAGAAATTGCAAAATTTTATATTGGTGTGAATCAGAACTGGGGTTTTTTTTGCCATGCAAAAATTGGGACTTTCCTTTACTGAACTTTTATTGCAAGATGCTCCTGTCTTTCACACTGCCTTCAAGCTGAAGGCAGTTTCATAAGGAGATACACCATTTGTGCCACTTTTCTTCAAATACTCCAGCTGTATCCCGATTTTGTTATGTCACACTCTACCTAGTAACTTGTTCACTACATACACCAATTGTCAATTGTTTCTTTTGTTAAGGAAAGTACCAGCAATGGTACTATAAACACACACTCTCTCTCTCTCTCTCTGTGTGTGTGTGTGTGTGTGTAGGCACAGTATATACTGACCCCTTTGTACATGCACTATCATGACAAGTTCCTTGGGATTAGGGAAAAAATTTTTTTTTCCCGAGATCATTTTGAGCAAAGAAAACTTGTGAACCCCTCAACAACAGGCAACTGAGATTGCCAGGTGCCTGAGTCCAATGCTGGGAACCATAAAACAGAAGGATAATAAAGAGAATTTATTCTTACCAGCCTAGAATGTTCCACACCTGTAGAAAAAAAATGCCTTGTGCACTACTGCCCTCTTCTGCTTTTGCTTTTGAAACAAACTTAACAGCTATTCATGTGAAAGAAAGTTACTTTATGTTTAATGGGCCTAATTTTCAGACAGCATAGATGAGATTGCTTTGTTAAGGGAAAATATCACAATACAATAATTAATAATTTTAGAGACTAGAAGTTCAAATAAAAATAATTTTGGGATAAAACAGTATATTTATTAGTCAACTGAAGGCACATGTGACACTTCATTGTTTTTAAATGAATTGTTAGAAGCATTTCAAAAAGATCCTAAGCTTTGGGGGGGGGGCACATTGTTATCCATACGTAGAATGTGTTAATTTTAGTTGAATCTATGCTCCCAATTCAAAAATACATAGCGTTACACACACACAGTTAAAAGACAAGCAATAAGACCTGTATTATATTTTAATTATAAATCATTGAAAATATATGAAAATGTAGGAAACTGTTTGCATATGTTCCATTTTCAGCTTGCTTAATGGGCATGAAATTTCATTTAATTCCCACCGTGTATATACCGTGTGTGTGTGTGTGTGTGTGTGTGTGTGTGTGTGTGTGTGTAGCTTTTGCTGAAGTCTTCTTATGCATCTAAAAAGCTACTGTCTTGAACTGTTATAAACTATATGCTTTAATTACAAAAACCCCAAGGTTCAACTTTATAACAGTCCAAAATTCTGAACAGAATGAATCTGCCAGATACAATGTCACTGAAATGTCACTGAAAGAACTGTGAATTACAGAGGGTCCAATGAGGCATGTAGCTTAATGTGAACGCAACCAAGAATAGAGAAAATGTTTTTCTGCATTCCATTGGGATCTTGGTTTTATGCAGGGATGGGATTCTACCAGTTCGTACCTATACGCTAGAACCAGTTGTTAACATTCTACGCAGTTCGGAGAACTGGTTGTTAGAAGAAATTACTGGCCTAATCCTGTAAGGAAGGCAGGAAGGAAACATTCTGGTGTTGATAACAGAAACTGCCTCTCCGTTAACCCTTATTACATTCATGGTAGGACTAGACTTCCTGTCTCTGGAACTTCTCTGGATTTTTTTTTCCTCCTTTGCTGGTACTTTGCTTGTGTGGAGTGACCATTCAAAGTTACAATGGCACTGAAAAAAGTGATTTATGACCATTTTTCACAGTTATGACTGTTGCAACATCCCCACAGTCATGAGAGGCCAGGCGAGGAGATGCGTGCCTCGATGTGAGCGATGTTGAGTTGGTCACATCCAGCCAGTCACATGACCACCAAGCCATACCCACCAACTAAGCCATGACCACAGAACTGGTTGTTAAAAAATTTGAATCCCACCCCTGGTTTTATGGCTATTAAATACTACTTAAAATTAGATATTAAAAATGATGTATTTCTTTTTAGTTAATTATATTCTACCTTTTCCAGACTTCCTCAAAACTTAGCATGGAACATGAATTTATATTTATTTATCAGGCACACATCAGGAGTTACAAACTGATATTATAGTAATGGCAATTTCTATTTAGTACAGCAATTGGAAAACGTTTGCTCTTGTCTTTGTCATACAGCAGAGGATCTACAGAATGTTCAAGTTTTTTTTCTAGTGAGTTAACACTGAACCAAATACAAGTTTATTTGGAGATTGTAATTTAATATCCATATTTGTACAATATCTTCTGTACATCCCTCTCCCCCCAAAATAAATATGAATTGGCTCCAAAAATGTTAGATTTTCAGTGCAAGTCATAAAAACGTCTTATAGGACCATCTATATTTTGGTAGATTTCCAGGAGCTATCATTTTAATAGATCTATCCTGAGGAATTACAAGCTTATGAAACTGCCTGACTTAATGAATAGGATCTCAAAGGACTGTTTAACAAGATAGTCTCAAGAATGTTGCTTGTCCAATTCCTTTTTAGTCAGTAGAGGGAGCTAATACAGTGCCAGGATAGGATATGGAGCCTTGATCATTTTAGAAACATACAGTACAGCAGAACAACACTCTGAAAAAATCAAGAAGAATTTGTAACAAAGATTTTAATAACATGATTACAATGTTGACATTTTTAAAAGGAAACCCACATTTCAATTTCTCTCAAGTTAAAAAGCTTAAAATGTTTACTAAGATAAAATAAATCTTCCCACATTAACATATGATAGTAATATGCTTTTATATGTGGGACACAGAATGTATCAACAGCACACATTATTCATTCTCTTTTGAACTCGCTTTTGTAAGTGTATATTCTCCCTGTAACATCTGTAATTTTTTTTTTTTTTGCAAACTTGGAGCACCTCCAAATCAACCAACATTTCTCCTTTGTGCATATACTATTTTGACTTCACAACACTAACTCTTGGAGAATGAATTCATTAAGGAAAAAGGAGTATGCTAAAAGTATACATATAATCTAGCATGACATAAAATACTAGAAAGTTTAAGCATAGTAGAAAGGTGCTGGAATATTCTGCAATATATTAAGAAAAACACTATAAGAGTTCAAGCACTTCCTTGTACATTATAGTTAAAAAGATGTTTAATATGTCAGAAGCTAAGTTACATGTGGAATATAAAAGTGAAACTTCAAATATTTTAAGTTCAGAGGTAAACTCAGCTACATTGAACATAATATTTCATGCAGGAAAGCATTGTTCTCGATAGTCTGGGAAATCACAGGCTAAGAATTTCAGATGCTTGAAGCATATACTTGGGAAATTACAAACTATAACTATAAACTATAATGTAAAGCTGCTGTAATTTATCCTATTTTGTTGACTTTTGTCTCGATATACCCTTTAATTGCTTGTTTGAAGATAAGAAAATATAAACTTTAATTACTGGCCAGCATTTTTATAGTAGATAAATCAATAAACCAATATAATTAGTAAAGAAAAGTTTAATCTTAAATATTTAGGTGATATAGGTAAAAGCAATAACCTTTGAAAAGGCATTTTGGCAACTGCAGTTGAACACACCTGGAGGACTTCAAAGTAGGGAAGGGCCTTATAAGTGCATTTAAACTCCTGAAAAATCCATTTAAGAGAGATTATAGGAGATTATTATGCTCTCCATTAGCCACTGGGCACTTACATACCATTACCAACCCTAAATAAAAATAGTCTGTCTGCCTTTAAGTTCATGGCCTCTTAGAGTGATTACAATTTCTTCCAACAAGCTATAAAATTTATTCTATGCACAACATGGTAACGAGGAAGAATGGATTATGCCACTACAGAATACAGCAGGTTATCGTATTTAATATCCCAAGAACAAACAAGCTCTTTGCAAGAGACAAACATCTGAGTTTAGCCCAGGAAATGGGGAGCTTGTGATCTATCAGATGTGACTGAACCTTAATTCCTAACATCATTAACTATTTGGCTCTGCTGGATGATATTACCAATTCCAGCATTTAGCAACATTTGGCATGTCAGAAGCTCCCTGTTACTGGCCAAGTTATATATCAGCTTTCTGTTTATTTGGAACCAATAAAAAATATAATTATCACCTCGATTGCAGCATTTCTTCTTCTTATATCTTTACACCAGGCCAGAGGTCATAAAGCATCATAGTACTTCAATCAAACCCCCAAGGGAAACTGATTTTGTTGAAGATCACCTTTGGCATACCTTTTCCATTACAAGACGAGCAAGCTTTATTGGGTTAGAAATACATTTCATGGCTGATACTGCTCCTGAGGCTAGATTTTTCCCATCCATGATAATAGCATCCATTTCTACTTCGCCCTTCTCATTTAGCACAGAGCCACAACCTAGAAATCAAGTAGAAAAGACATTAATATGCAAACACAAAGCTAAACATTTTTAACTACTTTAATTAATTTGTTTTTTAATTACTCTTTAAACGGCAACTTTTGCAGTATCAAAATCCTTGCAGGAGTAATTAGTGCTAATCCTAACAGAATATATAAAAACTTGGTATATTTTCTGCTCATGTTATATCTCATCCCTCACATATCAGAATATCTCCTGCAAAGCTTGTTTTTTTTAAAAAAACTGAGGAATTTGTAATATATGCTTTAACACTATAAACAGTAATATCAATAAAAGTATTACTAATAAAACACTATGCTTAGTAAAAGTAGTACTAACAAAAAAACTGTATTTTTATGACCAAAATTTCACTCCCATTAATGTTTTTCATATTGAAATTCAAAACACCAAATGCCAAACCTACTTGGCACAATCCTGAAGAATAGGACTTTTATTCAAAACAAAATGAAGCTTTAGGGCTGTGGATTTTCAAGTACTAATTAGATTAGACATTGAAAATAATTTTTGTATAAATTTCCTTGAAAATTAATTGGAGGATATAACCTTGAACAGCATTCATCCAAGCAAGAAGTTAGCAGGTAAGGAAATGAAAGGGTGCGAAAGAAAACCTCACCTTTTTAATTCCTACAATTAAAGCTGTTATAAAGAGCACATAAAAATGGAATAAAAGCAGGAAAAAAGACAGCTGATACAAAGAACTGGGTAGTAAGAATTTCAGTCTAGAAAATTGAAATGTTACCTGCATTAAAATGTGGATCATCTTCCATTAATATTACGGCCTCTTCAACTGCATCTAATGCAGTTCCCCCTTGTTTAAGGATACTGTAACCTTTCAACGCTGCTCTGATGACACCAGAACGACTTCCATCTTCCCGCTCTTTAAAGATGCGACCAGCTCCACCATGAACAACAATAACTGGCTTCATGCTGTTGAATGTTTTTCTGGTTAAAAGAATATGTGTGTGTGTGTGTGTGTGTGTGTGTGTGTGTGTGTGTGTACACACACACACACACACACACATACATACATATACATACATACATACATACACACACACACACACACACACACACTGCTCAAAAAAATAAAGGGAACACAAAAATAAGACATCCTAGATCTGAATCAATGAAATATTCTTATTAAATACTTAGTTCATTACATAGTTGAATGTACTGAGAACAAAATCACACAAAAATTATCAATGGAAATCAAACTTAGCAACCCATGGAGGTCTGGATTTGGAATGACACTCAAAATTAAAGTGGGAAAAAAACACTACAGGCTGATCCAACTTTGATGTAATGTCCTTAAAACAAGTCAAAATGAGGCTCAGTAATGTGTGTGGCCTCCACGTGCCTATATGACCTCTCTACAATGCCTGGGCATGCTCCTGATGAGGTGACGGATGGTCTCCTGAGGGATCTTCTCCCACACCTGGACTAAAGCATCCCCCAACTCCTGGACAGTCTGTGGTGCAACGTGGCATTGGTGGATGGAGCGAGACATGATGTCCCAGATGTGCTCAATTGGATTCAGGTCTGGGGAATGGGCGGGCCAGTCCATAGCATCAATGCCTTCCTCTTGCAGGAACTGCTGACACACTCCAGCCACATGAGGTCTAGCATTGTCTTGCATTAGGAGGAACCCAGGGCCAACCGCACCAGCATATCGTCTCACAAGGGGTCTGAGGATCTCATCTTGGTACCTAATGGCAGTCAGGCTACCTCTGGCGAGCATATGGAGGGCTGTGTGGCCCCCTAAAGAAATGCCACCCGACACCATTACTGACCCACTGACAAACTGGTCATGCTGGAGGATGTTGCAGGCAGCAGAACGTTCTCCATGGCATCTCCAGACCCTGTCACGTCTTTCACATGTGACAGTGTGAACCTGCTTTCATCTGTGAAGAGCACAGGGTGCCAGTGGCGAATTTGCCAATCTTGGTGTTCTTTGGCAAATGCCAAATGTCCTGCATGGTGTTGGGCTGTAAGCACAACCCCCACCTGTGGACGTTGGGCCCTCATACCACCCTCACGGAGTCTGTTTCTGACCGTTAGAGCAGCCACATGCACATTTGTGGCTCACTGGAGGTCATTTTGCAGGGCTCTGGCAGTGCTCCTCCTGTCCCTCCTTGCACAAAGGCAGAGGTAGCAGTCCTGATGCTGGGTTGTTGCCCTCCTACGGCCTCCTCCACGTCTCCTGATGTACTGGACTGTCTCCTGGTAGCGCCTCCATGCTCTGGACACTACGCTGACAGACCCAGCATACCTTCTTGCCACAGCTTGCATTGATGTGCCATCCTGGATGAGCTGCACTCCCTGAACCACTTGTGTGGGTTGTAGACTCCGTCTTATGCTATCACTAGAGTGAAAGCACCGGCAGCATTCAAAAGTGACCAAACCATCAACCAGAAAGCATAGGAACTAAGAAGTGGTCTGTGTCACCACCTACAGAACCACTCCTTTATTGGGGATGTCTTGCTACCTGCCTATGCTTTCCACCTGTTGTCTATTCCATTTGCACAACAGCATGTGAAATTGATTGTCAATCAGTGTTGCTACCTAGGTGGACAGTTTGATTTCACAGAAGTGTGATTGACTTGGAGTTACATTGTGTTGTTTAAGTGTTCCCTTTATTTTTTTTATGTATGTATGTATGTATGTATGTATGTATGTATGTATATGTATATGTATATGTATGTATGTATGTATATATATATATATATATATATATATATATATATTCTTAAGTAATATTCTTAAGTATTATGAGATATTGTCTATGATTTTTTAAAAAGGAATTGGATATCTTGTTGATCCTGAAAGTTTTATCAGAGTTAAACTATTCTAACATTTCAGCAGAGAAGCGCAAGAAATCTATTTCCAGAGATTTTTTTTTAAGGAGTGTCAAAGTCCAGTCTTACGCTCTTGAGTTCCAGTGAATTTCCTTAGTTAATAATCACAGTGCAACATTTTTCCATGGTTTTCATTATGGTCTTCATTACTAGCTTAGAAGTGCTATGCTTTTTGAAATACGTCTTCTGAAAATTTTGAAGTATGTACAATATATATTTGAGACATAAATAATCCTAAAAACTATGCAGCAGATACCCGTTTTTTTAAAAATTACATTAGTTGATTTTTCAGTTAGGCTAAAAGGCCTTTAATCAATGATTCTAATAAACTACTTCATCAGTATCCTAATTACTATTCCTATTAAAAGCATTAAAGCATGATGTGGACTCCATCATCCCTTTGTGTTTTATTACATCAAACTTCTATGAATAATCTGTATGCCTGGCCTCCTGGTTGAAACAGGAAGAGTTCATAATCCTAGGGATGAATTTACAAATTGAACTAAGCCACACTATGGTCTGCAATTTAGTATTCTATGCAAATCCATTAATATGATTTAGTAGTACAAATAATCCATGATATGATTTATACTGAACTATAATTTCAAAATCCTGGCTTAGCATCATGTATGAAGCTAATCAATACCTTATTTTTTAATCTAGATTTATAAAATTCAAATAGTATGAGAAATAACATTTCATGTGTATAAAAATGCATTGACCGATGAAAAAACTTTCACAACTTTCTAGGGCACGGATGTCAAAAACTCGTTGCCATCATGTCACTTTTTGCAACATTTTTTTTTCTTCGCAGAGCTGCGGTGGCATGGCCTGTATATGACGCATCTGGCCCACGGCCGCCAGTTTGACACTTCTGTTCTAGGGCATGAGCCTTACCTTCTCACTTAGAAAGCTGTTTTCAACAGTTCGGTATGGCTTCTATCAATGTAATTGATCGTATCTGTCAGTCTTTTATTGAAAATTCTAATTGTGTCTCTTTAGCTCTCCAACAGATATAAAGACGTTTTGTAGTCAAACTGACAGTGTCTACTGAATATAAGGAAAGTCTTTGCAAAATGTTTTATAGGTGGCATTTGCCACCGGCAAGACTAGCAAAAATGTTTAGCAATATGTCCTCCAAGTATAATCAGACCCCAGGTACTTATTATCATATCTGGTAGAGTTATATGAAAGCAAGAAAATATTAGACAAAAATACATACATGGTTGGAAAAGATGATTAAGCAACATATAGATCTGAAACCAGAAATATTTATGTTGGGTTATGCCGGAGGGCTATGATAAAGGGACAATATATCTAGTTTTGCATGTATTGACAGCAGTGAGGATTGTGTTTGCACAATATTGGAAAAATGAGAACACTCCATCAGATGAGGATGTAATTCAGAAAATATTGGACTGTGCAGAGATGGATAGATTGACATTAAAAGTAAAGGACAAAGGAGATACAGAATATTACTCAACGTGGGATAGGTTTTATGAGTGGTTACAGATAAGAGGTAGAAATTAGACAAGAAAAGATTATTGTTATGTATGCATTAAACAAAATGATGGTTTATAATTATAAGTATGCCAATATAACCAATAGGATTACATATAAGCTAACATAAAGATAAATTTAATTAACATTATTCTGTTGTACCATTGCTATCATTATTAGTATACAGTATATGAAACAATTTCTTTTTTCCCCTTGTTTATCCTCTGTAAATGATATGTCCTGACAATACACTGTGTTCAAAATGTTTATGAATTAAAAAAAATGCTTTGTAGTCATGGAGACAAACAGAATAGAGTTAGAATGACCGGCTTAAAAATGGAAGCCTTCTTGTACCAAATTGTGACACAGGACAGAACCTGAAGAATACAGATGAGAATCATCATTGGGAAGGTGTTCATTTGAGATAGGGTGAGACATACAGATTTGTTTATGAAAGGTAATTCCTATGTTGAACAGCTAACTCTCATGAGAAAGCAAAGAGCCACTATGTCTTACTCTATTTGCACTTTAAACCAGTCAAATATTTACCTCACATTTCTTTAATCATTTGGATTTGATTTTTTTGGCATTTCATTAGGAACTTAGCAAACTAACATTTTTAACAATATTTGTGTTAGGGTATTGTCAGCAAGGAACATGTCGCTAATGTTTCTTAGAAGAGGTGTGAAAACCTGGCTCTTCACAGTGCTTTGGCAAAAGAGAATGAGAATCCTTACTTCATTGCACTTGCCATCTTTCATCTATCTTTATTAATGTTTCATTGATTTTATTTTAGTTTGTTTAACTATTGTAAGCCACCTAAAGTCATTGAGAGTAAGAAAACATATAAATTTAAGTAATAATAATAAAAGACCTGAAAATATAAGTTGAACAAAACTTTTTATTGTAAAAGTATTAACTACAATAATAGGACCTTGGGTGTAATCCCAAAACATCTAGAGCACCACATGAACACCATCGGCATTGACGTCCATCAGTCCATTGCCCAAGGCAGCATTACTTGGAACAGCTTACATCCTGTCACCGTATCCTTAACACCATGAAACAACATCTGCCTATCCCAGGTCCTTGGAAAGAACTTGATAGATGGATGCCAAATCCAGCCTGAACATCTGAATGACTATGCAACCAACCATAATAATAAATGCTTCTAGTGTGCTACCTCTGTTTCTTGTGCAGCGGCTGACCAGTAAGATACCCAGAGAAATCACATTTCTAAGGAACCATCATATATTACCTCGGAATGAAAATCTCCTCCCAACTCAATTCTGCCAATGAAAATTGATTCTACCACTGACAGACAGCCTCTGTTGAGCAATTAATAACCAACAGCTCATCAAAACTTTGTTGCATACAAAATCACATGCCATCAAGGCAGGGAGAGCACAAGTAGTACCTCCTTTTGATAACTTGCAAGAACAGTCAGATGTAAACACTGATCCCAAATTGGCTTGCTGAGAACAAAGCCTTGCTTGATCTGAGAACTTTACTACAGATGTCCCAAAGGTGCTTTTTCCGTGAAGCAACTGGACTTTGTTTGTTTTTTTCTTTGAAGACCTTTCGTTTCTTGTCCAAGAAGCTTCTTCGACTCTTGACTCCCCACCATCCAGTCAGAGCTGAAGAAGTTTCTTGGATGAGAAGTGAAACAAAAAACAAGGAAGTCCAGTTGCCTCCTGAGACGGGGGCAGCCAAGACCTGGATGATTGAGAATCTGCGATTTTTACTACAGATGCCACAAGAGTTCTGCTTCCCCCTAAGCAGTAAGCAAGGCAGGCAGCGGCTTGAAAAAAGGCATAAAGCACCCCAGGGGCAAATATGAAGCTCCTTTTCTAAAATTACCTCCCACCCCAGAATTGGGTAGCTGTTTGGGATATCTCTTTTATAAACCCTGATCGGCCAGGAACCAAACCTTGTTAATATGACCTTCTCACTCTCCGATAGCCGCATTTAAACAACCGGCGAAACCCCGCTCTCCCCCCCAAAAAAGCAGCTTTAGACGGGAGTAACGAAAAGGGAGGGGAACCACTCTCGTTCATTGAGCCACTCAGTGCCTTGGTTAAAAGCCAGATTTACTCACGGGTAAATGGATTTCTTCCGCGGCTCCCAATGTCTCCAACTTAAACGCTTTGAAAGAGGGTGCGCGAAATGGGCAGCGAGGAAGCTAGGCTGGCGCCTCTGACAGGCACATCTGTTCAGAGAGCGAGAAGAACGGTCGTATCGGTCAGCTCCTATCGCGGACCCTTTGCCCTTAAGAAAACAGCCGCCTTCTGAGCTTTGAATGCATGTGAAGCAAAGCTGCCCTCAGCTCCAATGGCCGCCGCTCGCTAAAATGGCTGTCTAAAGGGTTTTTGTTTCAACGGGGGTGAGGCCAAAGAGCTGCCCGTTGCAAAGATGGAGGGTGCTTAGTAGCGCTGCGTAGAGAAGCGCCTTCTGAGCCAGCACGTGGTTTGCTTTTCCCGGGCTTGATGAAACAGCCGGAGCGGGGGTTGCGAAAACGTTGACGGGGACAAGGAAGACGAAGCAACCGAGGATAATTTAACACAAGTAACACAGTGGATTTTCAAAGCCGAGCTGTCTTAAGATTCGCAAACTCCTTTGATCAACCGGTTCTGGAAATAAGCGTCCTGCTATACCTATCAAACTATAGTAACTCATTGGTGTTTATCTCTCTTGTATTTTAATTTTCCTGTTTTTGTTTTGGATTAGAAGGTCTGGTCAAATAAAATAAAATAAAATAAACCTTTATTGTCAGAGTACAACATGTGTACAATGAGATTGGCTGAGTCTCCCTTCGTACACCCCACCCCCAACACAACTCACAGTGAAGACAAAAAAGAAAAATCCCTAACCCAGTGAATCCTACTAACAAACACACTATCTTATTGCACCATGTGAACTTATTGCACAACTCACAACATACTATGTTGACATTAAGTTATTTTCCATTCAGGCGACTGACAACCCGTGAGTAGAAACTTTTTCAGCCAGTTCTTGCAGCTGGCTATGCTTCTATATCTCCTACCTGATGGTAGGAGAGTGAAGAAGTGCTGACCAGGGTGTTCGTTGTCCCTTGTTAAAAGGGTGGTAGTCCATTGTTAAAAGGATCGTGTTTATCTGTCAAATATGTCATCTGACACTCAATTTCAGCTCTGGGGCATCAATTAACATAGGAATACTTATTTAGTAGATTGGCATCCCACATTTATTTTTTATACAGCCTATGAAGTATAGAATACATAATTGGTCCTTCCTCCTATTTCCCCACAACAACAGCCCTGTGAGGTGGGTTTAACCCAGTTGTAAGTGTGCAGCTGCCTTTCAGGCCTAAGGCAGGACTAGAATTCACAGTCTCTTGGTTTCTAATTCAGTACCTTAAACACTATACCAAATTAGTTCTGTGGGAAGATCCCCACTCCTAGAAGAATGAAATATTTTGAGGAATACTTTTTTAAAGGCAAAATATTATATTTCCCTAAATGAGAAAGGGAGAAATCTGTTTTTCAGAGGCAGAAAGCAACCTCCACTTTCCTTAATAGCCCACAGCAGATGTCAGCACTCAAGAGTAAAGAGCTTATTGAGAAAGGAAGACAGGTATCTAGATAGCTCTATTCATAAGCAAATACCCTCACACAAGAGTCAAAACAGGACAAAAGCCATTAAGCTGCAATAGGAATTGTGTCACCCCCCAGAACAGTCCCAAACTTCAACCAAACCTGGAAGCTCAAACAAACACCAAGGATTTGCATTTCCTCCTTTGCCTATGGAGCCAGCTATCACCTCTACATGATCCCATAGGAATCTGACAACAACCAATAGAAGACATGTTCTTGCACAGGAACAGGAAGCTCAATACAAAGCTTAAAGAAGGTATAAAAACCTTTCACTCTCAACTCCATTTTGTCAGCTGCACCAGAACCATGTGCTTGGTGGTTCTGTTCATCATTAAACCTTTTCAATCAACCTCCATGTTTCCAGTGTCTTTTCTCCCAGTTTGGAACTGAACCAGATGGATATTTCTTCTCACAGTTCTTTGGAAATATGACTGCAATTGCACCACCTGTACTATATATTATTCACATATCATTCTCAGCAAACCATGTCTTATTAACTAATCATCTAGATTTATTAAATAGTATATGAATCAGCACTTTACAAACCATAATGACTGGGTTCGTGCAACTTACTAAACCAAATGAGCAGACCACAATTGGCCCAGAACCTGGACTGAACCTCTGACAAATTGAAAAGAAAATAATATTACTCCTATGCAGGGTTTGTTGTAAAGCAATGTTTCCATCGATATGCAGTTTATTATGGACACCATCCAGGCTGCAAAAATCCTGAGAAAAACTACAGATTGTTGAGGGCAATATGTTGGCTCTGTAAAACACATAGAGAGGGCTGTAAAGCACTGTGAAGCGGTATATAAGTCTGAGTGCTTTTGCTATTGCCATTTAGTGATCTTCCATCACTCAGGATATTTTATTAAATTTATATGCTGCCCATCTCACTATCCAACCGTGGGTTGCTTTTAGCTGTGATGGCACAGTAGAAAGAGTTCCCTTTTTGAATGATTAGGAATGTGTGAAGCAGATACCATGGAAATCAAAGCAGTATGTTATTGAGATGTGGATCTGATTGCACATAGGTTGGAACCATGTAGAAGTCTCTACCAAACCCTCTAGCACAAGGGTGTCAAACTCAAGGCCCGTGGGCCAAATCCAACCCACAGGGTGCTTAAATGTGGCCTGTGGGGTTGGCCTGAAAATAGCAAATGACTGGGCCACAGTGCCTCATGCAGCCAAAATGAGGCACGGGGGATGCGCAAGCCCCCCCTTTGGCAGATAGGGTGCTGTAGGAGGCACCTCCGCCCCCCCTCTGGCTGGCCCCCCGGATGAGAACTATAATGCTGATCCAGCCCTTGCAGAAATCCATTTCAACACCCTGCTCTAGCAGTTGACTGACAGAGGGCTCAGAAAGCAACAAGGCTGCTTAACTTACTTAAATAAGTGGGAGAATTAAATTAGCTTCATGAAGAAAGTTGGAAGGGATGGCTTCCACAAATCTTTCTTGAACTGAACCACATTTGCTAAGTCTTATTTGAAATTTCTGCAACTCGTGAAATTCGGTCAATTGGTTGGAGTTAAAATATTTAAGCAAGTAAGCAAACAAGTAAGCTACAAACTAGTCAAAGTATTATTATGCACTGCCCATAATCATCTTTGATGAGATGAGTGACTATATTAATTTGATAAATAAATAAAATGTCTAAACCTAAAGTACCTGTTATTTGGAGGTTACAGACACTGGAATTTGATATTTCTGGCAAACCTTGATTTCACATTTCAATTTCTGTAAACGTAAATATAGTCACTCAAGGTTAAGATTACACAGTAATTCTAAGATGCATGTCACAGGTCAAAGTACACACTTGTTATCTAGACTTTTTGGCTTACTAAGCTGTACACAGTCTTAGATCATTGGTAGAGGTATTCTCTATGATAGAGGAATTCTCTAGGATGACACATTTTAGAGTATTTTTTGTAAAAAAAAACAATGCAACAATTATGTTGCATTGTTTCGAATTCTTAGCAATACAAACATGTAAAATATTTCTAATACATATATACATACAGATATGGATGATGGAGTTTCAAACAACTAAACTAGTTTTCTCCAGTACACAGTAGTATCTTCAGTTGAGCTGAACTTTATCTGTTATAAGCCTTTAATTAGCATGGCTATCTGTAGGAATTGAAGTCTGTCTACAGCAATTATGGGAAACACATGGAAAGAATCCTATTTTAGATACAGGTGGCAATGCGTTTATAGAAGCCTTCAAATATACATGCTTCATTTTCATCTTTTCATAACTTTTTAATATAAATATACCCATAGATTATTACATTATTGTTATTTTATTAAATTAGCAATTACTTCCCTACTCTGAGTCTGAAATCATAGTATCTTGTGGAATATAGCATGTAGACCTGTAATAAAAAGAATTGTCCTTCCTGACATTTATGCATTCGAGTACTCCAGTTATTAAAATGTCATTGAACAATTTTCAACTTCCATATTTCCTTCCAAGAGGAACATTTGTCAGTACCATTTACAATATATCACAATATTAAATTATATTCATAAATGATTTCTGTTGGGACAGAATTATATAGGAAGATAAGAGAAAATGCATGTGTTCTAAACAGTTTATAGTCTCTTTAACTATAGGTATGGTGATATTTTGTATATAGTACTGAATATTTCCAGAAACTACCGGTAATTTTCTGTTTATACTGAAAGAAATTTAGCTACTGGTATAATGCAATATATATCAGCTGATTTGACATTCTCAAGAAGAGCTGTGCTGGTCTGACTAAATGACTGCCAAACTCAATATTTCATTCCCTATAGTAGTAAATCGGATGACTACAAGAATCCCTCAAGCAATGCACAAAGCTTCGTGTTACCCAACAACTCATAACTGACATTTACAATACTTCTTATATTGAAGGGAACAGCGATCATCTCTACCATTATGCTCCAAGTTAGTAGCTCCATCATGTTTGTTTTGGATCTCCCTCAGAAGAGTAGGACATGTCAGAAGATGAGAACGACATCCATTACAGAGAAGCCCTTATTAAAAGCAGGACTCAGGCCAGCAAATGGGGCTGAAAGAGAACCAATCCACATGTCAACTTCAAACTGCATTTCAATTTCCAATTTTCAGCACTCCAGCTCAGAATTCTGTGTTGTGTTGCTACTCTAGAACAATAGAGTGTCCTAAGGTGCTAGACTGCCTAGTTAGGATCCCTGGGAGATAAAATTTCCTTGGGAATTGAGTCTGGACAGGGATGGATGCTGTAATACATTTTATAGGGCAGTGAGAGCAGTAGAAATGGTCCCTGGGGAATATGTTGGGATGCGTATCTTTGAGCTCCATACAAGAAGCTTGAATAAGTGGGGTTTTTTGCCTGGGCCATGGTCTTTTTCTTGACTTAATCTTTACCTATTAGGTAAATTCTGTATGATAAAAGCTGGCAGTGAAGGTCACAAATGGCAATCAGAGCACATTGTAGTGTAATTGTGAGCCAGTCACTGAGCACACAAATTACAGTCAAATGACTGCAGGAATGCTGTAACGCCTGTAGCTATGAGGACCAGTCAGAAATCTCTTCTGCTGTGCTGCCATAACTTCAAATGCTCACTGAAAAAGTGGTTGCTGAAAAAGGACTACTGTACTGCCATTTCACCAACAAATGGGCTTGGATAATTCCTTGGTGTCTTGATTAATTTTTTGTGGTTCAG